ATACTGGAATAAACTAGAATATAAATCCTGATCAGCATTTCTACTTACGCGCGACCTCACCTTGTTTTATAAGTTGGTCTTGCGGCCGTGGCTGGATGGCCTTGATAGGGGGGTTGGGCGTAGATTGGGCGTGTATGGATCTCTCGTGTGAGCGGAGGTGATGGGCGTGACTGAACCGCTTGTGGCAGTAGGAACAGCTGTATCGCCTTTCGACGCCGCACTCCAAGCGCATGTGGCGGGACAGGTTGGAGCGCAGCGTGTAAGTCCGGCCGCACTTGGGACAAGCGTGGGTGTTGCCGCTTGCGCCGCCGCCGCCGCCGCCGCCGCCAGCCGTGCCACTTGCGTCCGCCGCCTCCCCGGTGCTGGTCGAACGACCCCCACCTCCGCTCACAGAACGACTACGACCCCCCCACAGCCCCGTGGCAAGCCAGCCTTCGCACAACACCAGGCCTGCAACACAGCATAGTCAGCACACTTGTGCACCTCTTCATGGTTTCTTATTCAAGGAGGAATAGGCTTTAGATGCAAGTCATAAAATAATGGTAAACGTAAAATATACAGTAAAATAATTTTAAAAATCAAATGGAATGAATTAAAATGTGTAGTGTAATAAATTTATGACCCTTTTTTTGTTAAAAAAAAAAAGAAATAAGGTATCATTGGGTTTCAATTGGGACTTCAGTTACAGGTTCAGTGTTGTTTTTCTACAATGATATTTTCCAGTCTAAATTAAAGATAGCATGTCGCTTTTTAAGCCACATTTAACGCGGCGCATCTAAAAAAAATGTTGTTTCAATCTTTTATTGAAACAACAATTTTACATACTTATCAGGGGTACGTCATTCAAATACTCCTGCATATTCACCACTCATCTCCAAAATTGCTGCTTCCTGGGTGGTCTTCCTGGACTACCAAAAAGGAAAATTAAACGAAGCTCACTAAACTCGACATTTTTATTACTGCAAGATAAAGTGGCAACTGCCCACACTATAAAAATAATGCCCTACCACCGCTCATTCTAATACTCACTGTTTACATGGGTGTTTGCACAAGTTGGGGAAGACAACCTGCGAGTTCATATCATTTAAATTCGTCAATAAACATTAAATTTATGTATCTGTACAAATATAACAAAAAAGAAAAATATACTTTGTCTTCTTTTTTGAGTGTTCTTCTTGGCTCGAGGAAGGACGGTCCTCACAAAGAGACACACACCACAAGCAGGTGCGTGCGTGTTTGTGAGGCACCTCCCTCGCCCAGCACATTTATGCAGAAGTGTTTTACATCGATTTGTCAGAAAAAAATTGCAACCATCGATACCAAAAGGTCTACTCACAACAAGCTAATAGTGACTAGTACTTCTGGCATGGACGATTGGCACCTGCACTTTGGGTAAAATAACACTTCTTAAGATTTTAACAGTAAACGCAGGTGGGTTGTTTGCGGGTGTGATTAGTGTAATGTGCTTGGGGATGAGTGTGTGGATGACTGTTAAATGGTATTTGCTTGATATATTTATGATATGGGTAATGCTTGTTTTTTATTACTGGCTCTAAGCATGTAGGATCTGATGAAAATATATAGCATAGTTAAATGTGTATAGCAGCATACAATCTGTCCTGAGGTAATATGGCATACTTATTTGATTTTTCTTACTTAAATACTATGTTAAACAAGAGAACTGACAAAATATAGATGAAATAAAATGCTTTATGTGTAGATGAAATGTGTAGGAAAGGGAAGGATAAGAGATGAAACATGAAGATGAGGAAGAGGCAAATAGGGAGAAAAGAGAGTGGGAAAGGTTGAGAAATGTTTTTGGAAATAGAAAGGCATTTTGTATACATGGGAAATGGGAGTGAACAAATGTGTTTTTATCATGGAATCAATGGAACGGTTCTGGTAGGTTGCTAATAATTACTGAGGTATATTATATATGTCTCCTTCGACATCAATTACCACTACCATTGAACAAAAGAGGAAAAAATCATAAGCTTAATTCATGAAATTATTATGTACATTACTGAGGTAGATCAATTAATGCTTTACAAATAAATATGTTTCATCACTGAATACATGAAACAAAGGAATACCACACAACACAATAAATCAGTTACAAACTTTTGTTTTACATACATAAAAAACACAAAAAACATAATAGGGGAAAAAAAAGTAAATATAGATATAAAAGTAAATACAGTGTGCAAAATAAAGTTTGATTGAACAAATTCATTTAATATACACAATAATGAAAAAGAAAGAAAAAGGGGGAAAAAAATAAAATAAAAAAATAAATAAAAGCCCATTCTATAATGGCAACCAAAAATATAATTCAGCACCTCCTAATGGCTGGCATATCAATATGGAAATTGTTACTATTGTTGAAAAGGCATCATAGTTGCAGAATAAATTGAAGATATCCAAGGTTGCAATATATGTCTAAAGCTAAAGAAAGAAAGATATATAAAGAAAAATAGCAAACTGAAATGTGAAGAAACGAAGGTAGGAATAAAGAGAAAAGAGGAGAGATGAGAAAAGAAAAGGAAAACAGAGAAAAGAAAATGCAATGAGAACACTGTACAGAAGTGAGAGGATCAAATAAACTCTGCCACTAACTTCTACATCACATAATAAATGAAAAAAGAACAAGAAAAAAAAATCAAAATACAAACAGGTTTATGGTAACATACTGAGTTATGGCATGCCCCTTGTAACTCTTAACACTTAAATGATTCAGTGATTGCTAGTTCTTATAATTATATTTTCTCCACTTTCTTTACAGTTGGTAACTTGACGAATACAATCACACAAAAAGCTTATATACTGTTTAATGCCACAGTTCTTTTATTCAGTGTCACATTTCAATCTATAAATCTATCTATCACTAAGAACAATGTACATTGGACAAGTTTGGTTGAAAAAAATAAAAATACCAAACTTGGGAAAAAATTACATCACAAAATATTGTACAAAAGCACTGACCAAAATACTGGCAAAAAGGGTAATATATATATATATACTGAAAGTCTTTCTTTCTCATTACATACTTCCAAATGTACTGCAAGCAAGTTTTCTTTGACACTTTACTTACTAGTACACTCATACAAGCACATTGTTGTGGAGTACATTAAGTAAAAACCAAAAAAGTTACACTTGTAATAACATAATGAAGACAAAATCCTTTTTGTCATAATTCGAAAATTATGTTGAAAAAAAATGTGAGCAAAGGAACTATCACCAAACTTGGAACACCAGACTTTGAGCTAAAGTCAAAACATACAAGGTGCAAAATTCCCACAAAGGACCCTAATGATACTGTTCTAGAAAATAAATATGTCTTAAGAAAAAATAATCATGGAACAGGACAAATCTGTAGTATCCCGTCCATCAGAATCATTAAACAAGGATCATGTGCACAGACACAATTAACTGAATGTGAAATATTATTCAAAAAGAAAGAAGTGAAAATAAATCCAATCCTACTACATTTCTACAATTTAAAACATGTTAGTATATACAAGGAACTTTGAATTCTGTTATAGTGATTGGTAAAACAATACTATCAAAAAATAATACATAGTTGTCCCAGAAGTACACATTTCACAGTGCTGAATCACAACACCAAAGCTTAGAGGCCAAACCCAGAAAACTCAGATCATGTGCCACTTTTCACCTGTGGCACAAAACTGTGGCCAAGAAAATGGCCCAACACTGCATACTGGCACAAGAGATTGGATAAAGCAAAAGCTGATATCTTATCAAAAATTGCCTAAGTTATTTAGTAATATGTCAAATATTGGTAGGCATCATTTGTACTTTATATCCTAAGTTGTACTACTTTGGCATCAAGTATCAAGCAGTGTTACCCCAGTGGTTGGTCTACTTTATGGCTGGTCAAAGGAACATTACCTTTAAAACTGTACATACATACATCTGTGCAAAACACATAACAAACATACTAAATCACTTAAACATATGAACATCTGACCATCAACAAGCACATCCAACCATATCTTCAAAAAATTTCAAGCAACTATTCATACAGCTTCAATCATGCCTATTCTTCACTTGTTCAGTACCCGAAGTACCTACACGTATTGGAATCAGTAGAAATAACAGCTGTTACACATTTGCAACTACACAGGCATGTATAAAAACCTTTTGAACTATTGAGATCTTGAGCATCTGGGTGATAAACATCTGAACTTAGCAGTTAGATTCTAAAAATAATTTCTTTAAATCAAATCATACCTGAATATTTCTTTTCTGGGTTACTGACTTCAGCAACATGATGTGAACCCTACAGAGATAACTGAGCACAGCTAAAGCCTGTGGCCAAAACACATACTTGTAGTTATATCAGCACCTTTATTGTACATGTAAGGCCACAGACTTTACAACAGATTTGGCATTTTAACTTTAATATATGCAGAGACTATTCAACAAGCCTTTGCATCAGGAACTTTAGTTATAAGGCATACCTGGGTTACTCTGTTGAAAATAATCAAAATATATATAAAGGAAATAGAGGTATTTGGATCCTTTGATCATATATGGAGGGTAAGACTGTATTACTATATCTGAATTAACTTGGCAGGGCAGTACAGAACAGAAATAAAAGACAGTGCTTCCTTAGACTTCGACAAACATATACCTGCATAATACCCGTATTAATTGTATAACTTCACATTACTGAGGAACTTTTCGTTGTATTCTATTTAACAAATAACTCTCGATATGGTCATATCAATAGCAACCTTATAATACTATACACCAACTATTGTATAAATATAACCATCCCAAGAACATTTAGCAACAAACAGTAACAGCATAAATTTTCTGATAAATAATATGCTAATCACCTTCATTACAATGTAATTACATACAAACAGTGGAGTCTGTGGTGGCTCTGAGTAGGCACAAAGATTTTGGAGTTTTTTTTTTTTTTTTGGAAAAAAAAAAAAAAAAAAAAAAAAAAAAAAAAAAAAAAATCTTAACTAGCCACCAAACAAACTCTTGATTGTCTAACTACCTGACAGAAGTCCTAAAGAAAATACTTAAATCATGTTATGATACAAACATTACTATAGAGAGTTGGATGCCACCACTCCTCCACTAATAAATATAGAATATTTCTAAAAAGCAGTGGCACCCTAGGATTCACAATCTGACTAGGATCAGCAGGTTGAGAAGTGGCCCAGGCACACCTGCAGCCATCAGGTTAAGGAGTGGCAGGAACTAAGTTGCCGAGAATCTACTACACTGTCTTTCAAAACGTGTTAGTTGTATTGTTACATTATCCCTAAGAATACAAAACTATCTATCAAAGCAGCACCTCCAATATGAAGTAATAATATTATAATTATAATCTGTCTAGTTTTTAAATCATAGCATCAGAAAAATATCAATCCAATGAAAGGATTCATGTTATGTGCTACAATGAAATGCCTATAAAGTCTTCAGCAGCTATAATAATTTACTTAATGGAATGAGCTGACAATTGCTTTATTTGTACTTATATACCTGAGTTTGGTCACAAAAGATTATCTGTCATACCAGCTTAAAATAAATTATTAGAGATCAGGACCAATGTCCACATCTAATGCTGAAAGTTCATCCCTGAGTCATCCACTGGCGCAATGGACATAGCAACACTTGCGTTGCTTTAATTCATCTATTTCTTGGTTAGTCAAACAATTTCAAAATCCTGTCCTGTACTGCCCGTCATATTCTGAATATTTTTGTTTAAATGTTCATACTGCTTAAAAATAAGGGTAGTATTCATTTTCCAGTAGCATAACCAGTGGGGTGTTTGCATAATGATTTGTTGGTCTTGATTACTTTGCAAATATCGACATGGAAGTGGAAACAACTTATGATAAATAATGCCTCAAACATCCCTTTGGCTATAGAGCCTTCGGTGCTATACGTCACCTCTTCCCACAGCACTCTCAACCAGACAACAACTGATGATCATACACATATAATACATTTATCAAAATGCACTGCCAAGAGTGAAGCAAGTATGGAAATGTGGATATGGGAGCATCAACTCTTCTTAAAGAGATGATGCTTCTCTAATCAATGAATATTTAATAATGAAACAGCTTATTATTGGTTTTCCTATTCAATACTTCACTTTGGCAATGCATGCATACAGTACACACAGACCAAAATACAAAGGGGGTAACTGGCACACATTTCCATTATATTTTCACAATGGCTGTCCATCAATATTGTTATGAGGAAATCAACAATAGATAACACATGTTTCAACATTACATCACAGACAGGCATGAGGTTTCTTGAGTAAATCATACTGGATACATATATATTCCCCCAGTCTGTGTGAACTCTTCGGCTTAGAATCATTAACTAACAACTTACTATTTACCACTCCAAATCAAGAAAAATAATCTAGTTTATTGGATACATTTCACTGAAAGCTTCATTTTCTTTCCCCAGATGTTCTGGCTCCCACCTCATTCTCACATCTGAATCCTTATAATGCTCAGAAGGTTAAATTCATTTACATAAAACTTTTGGATACATTTCTCTAACCCCTGAGCATTAAAGGGTGTTCAGGCACATTCAAGGATACATCTGTCCTGGTAAATAATACTTTTGTAATTATTTTCCTACTCTGTCATAGCCTCAATCAGTCAAAATCTACCCATCTTGATTTTGTGTTGTTGGGGCATTGGCTTCCTGCGGGATTGGGAAAAACTCATCTTTACATGGACCAGAGCCAACGGCAGCCATTCCTTCAGAAGTAGGGAACAAAGCAGGAGAGTCTTTAGGGGCATCATTCGGGCCACCTTCTCCTGCCTCGTTACGATGTGTGGAGAAAACATGGATCTTTACACTGTGACGATGTTGGAACTTTTTCTTGCAGATTGGACAGGAAAACTGAGGTTCAACACCACACTCGTATTTCTTGTGCCGTTTTAAGTTACCTGTTGATGCATAAGTGCGGCCACACTTCTCGCACGCAAACTGTTTAGGAGTTTCTGAGAAGGGGTAACCCAGCATGGATTTGGGGCTGGATTTCTCTCGGCCTTTGAGGAGTAGAGGAAGGCCAATAGGAGGGGGACGGGCCAGGATGTCTGTAGACATCCGGGAGGGCAACAGGCCAGGGAAACCAGCTCTCACAAGGTTATAAGCACGCAAGTAATCTGCAAGAAAAATAGGGGTTAGCAGGTAGATGAAGTTTGTGCTGAGGTTAGCTCGACACTACTGCACAACAGAAGCAGTTGGGGGACTATCCTGAGGACTTCTTCTGCAAATGTACATTGATACATTGGGAGAAGAAAGCCTCAGCACATCCAGCCATGCAGAGAGAGCCAGTCAGGAGAGAGCCAGAAACTGAAGTCGATCAAGGGGGGGGCAGGGGGGGGGGACAACAACAAAGCCATGCAAATGCTGGCATCCAGACGCTAGGAGACAATCTCAAAAAACCCTATAATATAAACACAACCTTAATCCAAGACATAAATAACAGAAAGAAACCAAACGAATAAATAACAACAAACAATATCACAATACTGTAGTTTAAAATCCTTACGATTCATTGCACTAGAAATTAAATGAGATCATTCGTTACTATGAATCACATATCATGAGTATATAAAGTAAACCAAAGAGAAATACATTTAGGTTTTAAATGTATTGTGTATTTTTTTTTTTATATATTTTTAGTCATATATATGAGTGTATATATGAATACATATATATATGTGTATATTATATATAAGCATATATACAGTACATAAGGACATACAAATAAATTGTATGCCTATTCATAAATAAGTGTACAAGTGTATGATGTACTTCTTACAGATACATATTCATATATGTATATATATGTATTAGCATGAATACATAAATACATATATATATATCTATGCATGTATTACATAAAACCAAGATATCTATGAAACTTCATATTTGTGGTGTGACAACATATGTTGTTTCAGGTTGAATTTATGTGTGCACTTCTTGTTGCAGACTGGACACATAAACTTAGGTTCAACTCCGCATTCAAACTTCTGATGGCGGTGGAGTGAACGCCTCACTCCGTAAGTCTTGCCGCAGCGTTGACATGTGTGTATCATCCCTCCGTGAATGTTGCTGGTCGACTGCACCAGCGGCACACCCAGAGATCCCCCACCACTGCTGCCATTACTATTGAGGTGGTTGTTGTTTAAACTGCTGTTACTATTGAAAGAATGGTTCAGGTTAGGAATGGGTTTGATGTCAGTATGGTGGATGGAACTGACAGGGGATAGGTTGAGGGGCAAAAACTTCTCAGATCGAGGGGAGTCTGCCAAGGCCCTGTGCGCTAAAGCTCTGGTCAGGAGTTCTAGACGGCTAACGGACTGATGGTGGCCGAGTCCCATCCCCCTTAATCCTGTAAGGTACACAAGATCAGGGGGAGGCTTGACACTTGGTGAGGGTGGGGAGAGAGTGTGTTGGATTGGGGAGGAGGGAATTGAGGTTGAGGAAGGAGGAGGAGGGGAAGGAGAGGCGAGTTGGGTCACAGGATCAAAAGGCCTTCCAGAAGGGGTGGGAGATGCAGCGCGGGGGGGCACCTGGGGGTTATGTGGGCCTGAAACACGGAGACACTATGTCAGCGATGGCCACATGAGCTCAGTCAATACCATCACCGTTTGTGCCCCTTGTTCGAGTATGTACTCTATCTACATTCGACATCTTTGCGTTCGCATTACTAGCCTACATCCATGCTGATGTCCACTGATAACTAAATATGAAGACAGCTGATTGTACTACAATAAATAAACAAAAAGAAATTCATGAGAGAAATGTCTTAGCATTCAAAACTTTTTAAGAGAACATTGAAGTAGTCATGCATATGCTCTGGTTTTAACTTACTACTTTTGAATACATTGCCCTACAAACAATTTGTGAATCCTACAAACATTTATTGTTATAGCAAGTTACAAGAAATGGCAAAGCTACATAAAATCTACAAAATTATTTGCTGACTACTTAATGAATGATTCATGTTGTACAAAGCGGCATGCAAGAAAAGCAGGAACACCCTCCGTAATGATGGGTTATCCACTATCTTCTATTAACCACATTCTAGTCACAATAAAAAAAAAGAAACAAAAAAACAGAAACAAAGGAGTAAAAAAGGGATAAAAATTAAGCCGAGCATTTGTTGCAACCATCTAAAAATGATACCAATTAAATAGCAAAATAAAAAATGAGTAGATCCATTTTCTACATTAAGGAAATCAGTATACCACTTAAAACTGTTAGCCAAACACCAATTCACTGCGAGGAATAATGTGCTGCTGGTGAAATACAAAGCAAATGTTGGGATTGGGGATCAAAGGAGACTTTGGGGAGAGGTAGAAGAGGAGACAAGGATTTTGGCCATTGCACCATTGCAGGAAGAGCGCTTTCCAGTTGCACTCCACGTCTTCAAACTGCTTTCCACATTCCACTGATGAATTTTTCTCCCCCAATAGGAATGCTGTATATGCACTCCACGTCATTAGTTCTTAGTGAGGAGAAACCAAATTAGATTCCTTCCATCAACTGCTTCTTTTCATGGTTTCAGAAGTTAGGCAAGTAAGATTTTCCTTAAGTCTTCAACAAAGTGTTCTCTTGGGTTTGGATAATGACAGCTACATTCATTCACTCAAACAAGCACACAAACACGTGACAACTTTCCTGTCACTGAACATTTGTAACATACACATGCCTATTTATTCATGAAAAAAGAAATGTCATTTTTGCAAATATTATTTTTAAAAAATCATGTTTCTGCAAGTATTTAGTTACCTAAATATGTCTAAACTCAATAGGAAGTAAGGAGAGGAGACAGGCAGGAGGCAAGGGGAGGGAGGATGTGAGTGAGAGGGAGAGAGAGGAGAGAGGAGAGGGGAGAGAGGGAGAGAGAGAGAGAGAGAGAGAGAGAGAGAGAGAGAGAGAGAGAGAGAGAGAGAGAGAGAGAGAGAGAGAGAGAGAGAGAGAGAAGGAAGAGAGAGAGAAGGAAGAGAGAAAGGGAAAGAGAGAAAGGGAAAGAGAAAAAGGGAAAGAGAAAAAGAGAAAGAAAGGGAAAGAGAAGACGAGAAAGAGAGAAAGAAAGAAAAGGGGAAAAACAAAGAGATAGACAGAAAGAGAAGAGAGAAAGGGAAAGAGAAAAAGAGGAAGAAATGGAGGCAGAGAAACACAAAAAGATTGAGACAGGCATAGATTATCACTAGCTTTAAATAACCTGACAAATAATACACACAAGTTGGCCAAGTAATAAGACATTGATAACAAACAAAACATTGATAATAACAATAATACAATTATGATATTCTACACACAAACTCTACAGACTACCTTCTAACTACATTGTTCTTATGTGAATGTGTATCTACCTAATATGAATACCAAAGTTAACAATAAATATTAACAAATACCCTTGTTTAACTTCCACCATGCCCTAACAACAAACCCCATGTTATATCATTATAATTGCAATAAGAAGTTGAATAAATAGTCACTGAAAAAAAAAAAAAAAAAATTATATATATATATATATATATATATATATATATATATATATATATATATATATATATATATATATATATATATATTATATATTTATATAAGCTTATTATTTTTTTCTTCTTCATTGCTTGCTTTCTGTATGTGGAAGTGCAAATATCTATGCAATTGTGAGCAAATGTTAACATAGATGTGTTGATGTTGGTGTTTGTAAAGACATAACTTGCATTTTCTTTCTTTGCTTTTCGTTCTACTAACTTGGCATTACACAGCATGGAAAACAATATGCCTTTTGGAATTCCATCAACCTTTATGCAAGGTCCAAGAAGCAGAATGGCAACACGGAGATTTGTTTCTTTCGTAAAACGCTACACATTGGAAAACCACAAAATAACAAAGCATTATCCTTCACTGCCAAAAACGCGGGACACTGCAAACAAAAAGGCGTCTTATATTCCGTTTCCAGAGGGAAAGAAAACAAAGAGACAAGTCATATTAACCCTTTAATGACAAAGTTAACATAACAACAACTTTGATATTGGAAATAACAAATAAGTATGAAAATAAACCATGTTATGAGTAGTACTGAGTAAAATCTCAGACGAAGAAGAAACAGTTCTACAAAGGTAGTTTGGAGAGAGCTATGGATAAGGGGCCCAGAGGGATGATAAAAACAAAGTTTCAGTCTACATGTATTGGCAGTGTACATATACAACATAAAACAATAATGAAATGTTAACAGTCTTGGGAGAGGGAGGAGGGCAATTATAGGATATCCCAGGTAATGGTTGATTTTTCTAAAGTGGCCATATGTTTCATGTAGGTTAAGGCAGGTAAAAGAGAGAAAGAGAGAGAGAGGAGGAAGGAGAGAGAGAGAGAGAGAGAGAGAGAGAGAGAGAGAGAGAGAGAGAGAGAGAGAGAGAGAGAGAGAGAGAGAGAGAGAGAGAGAGAGAGAGAGAGAGAGAGAGAGAGAGAGAGAGAGAGAGAGAGAGAGAGAGAGAGAGAGAGAGAGAGAGAGAGAGAGAGAGAGAGAGAGAGAGAGAGAGAGAGAGAGAGAGAGAGAGAGAGAGAGAGAGAGAGAGAGAGAGAGAGAGAGAGAGAGAGAGAGAGAGAGAGAGAGAGAGGAGGAAGGCAGAGAGAGAGAGAGAGAGAGAGAGAGAGAGAGAGAGAGAGAGAGAGAGAGAGAGAGAGAGAGAGAGAGAGAGAGAGAGAGAGAGAATGTCAAATAATGACAGTGGTTTATGTTAAAATTAAATATAATTAAATCTGAACAAACAAATAATTTCAATTTTCAACAGCTTTAAAATCAATGTGGCCTTTCACTGGATTACAATCATTACCTGTAGTCTTTAGGAAACTTCACAGGTAACTTAGAAAAAAGAGAGGGGGGTGGGGTGGAAACACGTCTCCTTTAGAGACATTTTTATCTGTTTTCCCAATGGATTACACTGAAGGAGCTGTTCTGGGACCCGACTTTCCTACCCTAATTCCATCTATTGTGTCAGCACCTCAAGATTTTGACTAAGTCACTCCTGCTCTCAAGTACTCTACAGATGTTGCACATTGATAAGCTCGATAATATGCACAGAACACCCTAGCTGACCAACATTGCAATAAAAAGTTTTGTTTGTACATCTGGTTA